TACTACATGATTCCATATGTGTTATTTCATAGTTTTGATGTCTTCACTATTATTCTACAATGTAGAAAATAGTAAAAATAAAGAAAAACCCTTGAATGAGTAGGTGTTCTAAAACTTTTGACCGGTAGTGTAGTTGCTATTGAGCTGAATATTGAGAGTTGATAAATACAAATTATACCTACAGAAAGATTAAACCCTCCAATCTTCGACAGGGACAAGGGTACGAAGCTTCCAAAGCTGTGTTTTTCCCACAATTGCATTTTGAAATGTTATTTACATTTTAGTCATTTAGCAGACGCTCTTATCCAGAGCGACTTACAGTTAGTGAGTGCATACATTTTCATACTGCCCCCCCCCCCCCCGTGGGAAACGAATCCACAACCCTGGCGTTGCAAGCGCCATGCTCTACCAACTGAGCTACAGTTTGATCAGAACACATTTTTCTATTAATCACATGGGGGGGGAGGAGGGTGGCTCGCTCATCACAGCAGCAGGCCCCAGTGAGGGCACAGGCACAGGGGCAGGGCAGACACTTTCATTACAGGAATCCATTCATGAGGATCCATCCATTCATGAGAATAATAGTGTTTGACCATATTATGGTTTTAGCCGCCCAAATAATTTTACATTTTGAGTGAGGTGATAATGTAGAATGTGCTCTTTCTAGGTTTGTAGGCACCCTTTCCGTTTTTTACTATCCATGATCTTGACTGTCTAACTGATGACAGAGTTGGAGCAGGTCTCTTTGCTAATGACGCATTTTACTTTGAATGTGAGTTTGCGTGACCTCAGCTCAGCCTATCTGAAAACCAGGCCGGCCCATCTTGGTAGGGGGGCCGGCCTATGCCCACTGATCAGCCAAAGGCTCATTATATACTGAACAAAAATATAAACGCAACATGCAACAATTTCAAAGACAGGTGAAGAAGCCGGATGTGGAGGTCCTGGGCTGGCGTAATTACGCGTGGTCTGCGGTTGTGAGGCCGGTTGGACATACTGCCAAATTCTCTAAAACGACATTGGAGGCAGCTTATGGTAGAGAAATGAACTTTCAATTCTCTGGCAACAGCTCTGGTGGACATTCTTGCAGTCAGCGTGCCAATTCCATGCTCCCTCAAAACTTGAGACATATGTGGCATTGTGAGGTGTGACAAAACTGCACATTTTAAAGTGGCCTTTTATTGTCCCCAGCACAAGGTGCACCTGTGTAATGATCATGCTGTTTAAATCAGATTCTTTTTGTGTTTATGGAAAATGTCAGGGATTTTTTTTTCAGCTCATGAAAAATGAGACAAACACTTTACATGTTGCATCTATATTTTTGTTCAGTGTAGATTAGTACAACAGAGAAATTGCACACAAAAAACTAACCAAAAACATATTTTCCATTGTTTTATTTTGATCAACAACAAAAAATTGAGTGTGTGTCAATTTTGACCAGCCCAGCCAACTAAAAAAATTGTCCAGCCCATATGGCATTTGCCAGAACTGCCAGATGGTCAATCCACCTCTACAGTAGATGTAAATAGACACCTTATTGACACAACAAGATATCACAACAAGAGTTAAAAGTTAAAAGTTGTTAATTTTTTTAAGCAATTTAACACCGGAGAACGATATACAAGAATAAATACATTTTGTTTAAAAAATATTACAGTGGCAGATAAATAGGTGTTAACATTAATTAAATAAGTTAAATAAATAAGTTAAAAATATGTTAAGTTACTTCACAATTTCATACATTATATAAATACATTCCTAAATATAAACTGTTCCATAGTGGAACACAGGCAGATACATAAGTGTGTTTATGAAATGTTTATGAAACATTGTAATAACACACAACACCACAAAAGTTACTAGTCTTTTCTGACTATTTTGACCAAATTGATCCTACAATGAATGTAGATGTCCATCTACTACTAAGTTGTCTAATACTGAAACAGATCACAGATGACGAATCAATCACAGATGACGAATCAATTGTGGCCTGCTTCCCAGCTCTAGATACCATATTTAGGCTAATCCATTATATGTTTTGCAGGATCACCAGGGGCAAAGACCCGAGCCATGAGGATGGAGAAGGAGAACAGCTTCTCAATATTGTCACGGCACAGTCCTGGCTCTTCCCAGCGCTCCACTTCCGGCCAATTCTCTTCTGAATAAGGATGGGGCTCCTACAAAACAATTAAGAGTAAGGATATGCAGCCCCTCAATCAATATGATATTGAAATATGAGTCTGTAGATTCAGACATCAGTAGATTCAGACATCAAATACACTGGACTTACCTTCAATTCAAAAAGGAGTTCTTTCACTACTGTGTTCACCTTCTTTCCAACTTCTGCACAGTTATTCTTGAACTGACTAATTATCCCAAATACTGTACAGTAGTTCTTCAGAGCAGAAACCATCTTCTCAAGGCAAGGCTTAGGTGGATAATGGTAAAAAATACAAAAGGTCATTTATCATCTCAGTTTTGTACACTTGGTGTTGTGTATTTGTTTCTCAACCAATTAACATTTGTGTCTGATGGATGATGGAATTGGTTAGTGCTTTAAACATTTTGAAAAAAAATTGCATTTGTATAACCATTGACCACATGTGTCTTATTGAAGTTGTTGGTCCAAGTAAACTCATTATCAGAATGGAAGTTGTGACTTACCTTTGAATCTGCTCTTAGGTTTTTTGGATCACATTTGTCTGTGGATTCCACCAGCACTCTTGGCCCTTTGACAACTCTTTCCACAGTTTTCAAATGACTGAGCTCCTGCAGGACATTATTAAATGTTTCAGAGGCAGATTCAATACAAGTAGCCTACCTGTGGCAGGCATCTATTAATTTCCACTTCTAACGGTCTGACTACCCACTGGGCACAGATGTCAGTTCAACATCTAGTTTTGATTTACATTTGGTTGTCAACTAATGTGACTTCAACTTGAAATAAACCAAAATATCACCATGTCATTGGATTTAGGTTAAAAGCTGGGTGAAAAAATGACGAAATGCTCTTAAAATGTATGACTTTTTTCAAATCCAATACATTTCACACGTTGATTCAACGTCATCACATAGATTTTTGGGGTTGAAATGAAGTGGAACAACGTTAATTCAACCAGTTTTTAACCAATGGCTACCATTGTCCCACAAAAGCATCAAGAACCAGGGTAGTTTAGGCCTACTTCAATTCAGTTTTATCATCACCCTACCATTACCAATACTGAATACTGATGATAATCCACTTACCTCAGTTAAAAGTATTTTAGCAAGTTCATTTAGTTTTAAAGAGCCCTCTGTCACGTTATTCCAAATGATTCCAACTGGTTGGTTAACTGGAGCGCCGAATGCAACAGTAAATACCGCAAGAAGGCTAACAACGGTTGTGAACGGCAGGTGCATGACTCTGATTTCTTCTACGCTTGATTGGAGTTCTGCAGGTCCGTATTGCATGTGTTTATAATCGCACTCTCGGTGACATTGCAGCGGAGTCCCTGTCCACTTATATAGTTATACAGGCCGGTGAGTCACGCGAGGACTTTCCCGGGGCATCCTTCAGGTGAGTTTCAGCCTATAGCCAACAGAGTTTTGTTTTCGTTAATGTTGTCCACGTCATATTGTAAAGAATGTGTTTGCAAAGCATTTTACTATTTTCCAATGACAAATGAACAAATGTTGTCTATTTATTATTGAAATTATTGTAGCGTATGTGTTCGCTTGACAATATGAGCGCAGACAATAAATGCACTTATACCCTATTAAATTTGTAGAGCTTGGAACTTTTATAGAAAATAAGTATGCAAGCTAAAAGTCTTAATTAGCCTAATTGACCCAAACGCACGCCTATTCGTCAAATGGTTCATAGTGAATACAATTGTTTTGAAGCCTAATTGATGTTTTATTCAAATGTTTGTCTTATTTAAAAAAGGTATTAAACTGGCTATTTAATAGGCCTAGCCCTAGATATTTAAGTTTAAATGACCCTTGCCAAATGAATATTCCATCCAAAATTAACCACTTTTTAATAAAAGTATGTTTTATATTTGATAAAATACATTAAGCCAACAACTCTGCATAATGATTCAATCTCTTTCAAACTTTTTGATTCAAAATTATACAAGAAGAATTTCCATTGATGACATTTCATTGATGACATTTCATCAATGATTCCTGTTGGCTAGCTCTGTCATCATAATTTACAGGTGGATTTCCTCTTTTGTAATGTATTTTGCAGTTTGGCACCTGTAGAAAACTACAGCTTCCATTATCAAGGAAGTGAAATTAGCCAACATTTGTTACATAAAGAACCACTGTGAAATGTACATTAGTGACTTCCAATGTGTGGGCTGCGAGTAGTGTAAACTTCCCGCTTGCTTCGTGAGCCCCTGACAAATTCTCTTTATGAAATAAATATTTTGTTGACCACTAAAATGTGGGTTAGGCCTACACTGAAAAGTACACAGGCAAATACCACAATTAATAATGTCATTGTTATGTATAAGTATGAGAACACATCTATTGTTCTTTGTTTAAATTAGAGAACATGCTTTCACAAGGAAAGAGAACGGGAAGGAACTGTAGAACAGAAATGTATTCAGATCCACTGGATCCAATGCATGAATATGCACGATCAAAAATTAAGCCTATTGCGCCAGTTGAGAACAGGCAACTCCCAAAACACACTTGCCATCAGGCCTGTATTAGAAATGTAAATGTTCTGATTCCCACTCAGGTTCAAAACATACATTTCACCAGGTCTCGATTAGGCCTACGCATATGCTTAACAACAACAACAAAAACATTCAATTGTGTAGGCCTACAGCACAGGCAAAGAGGTGAGAGAGTAAATTAATTTACTTTTCACTTTAAAATTAACACTAGGCTACCAACACTTTACGTACAATAGACTGCAACGTTTTTAACATTGAGGGTTGGTTCTGAACTTTGTCGTTTCGTGAATGTAGCTACACTATTTGCTCCGGAAGTACTTGGTTCCTCGTTGGTTTTATTGTTATTATGAATGAAACAATCATGGATGCAAAGAAATCTACGTAACAAAATTAGCAACTGAGAAGCTATTATTTGGGGCACAGTGTACAGCTATACATTTAGTAAATTATTAATTTCTTCGTTTCCATTGATTCTGAGCATGGGATTCTTATTAGGAGTTGTGTTATCCAAGCTGTAGCTCATGCTTGCTAACGTAGCTAGTTAGATAGCAAACAGTTGCATGAAATCCGCACTTGCTGGGCCGATACAGCTAGCTAGCTAACTAGTTTGTCCTCTTTTAATTGCGTAAAAAAAAAATGAACACGGTACTATTGCAATATTGTAATTCTTACCTAGCTCACGAATCCATCAGACCAACAACTATAGCCCTAATGGCTACCTATTATGCTTAGTGATGCTTAACATGCTGACAGGGACAGTTTAGCTGGGGTGTAATCACTAGTCCAAACAGTTGCAAAACGTGTAACTAAAACGAGTGTTTCTATTGGACAAATTCAGGTAAGTCCCTCCATGTCTCATTCCGTTTGCTTCCGTTTAAGAAACGCTTTGCAACAGAATCGGCGGAATGAATACACCCATGTTACATCAAGAGGCCATTGGTGTTGTAATGAGGATGCTACCAAAGATAATTCATAACCTGTAGCTAACTGGCTAATACAGTCAGTCTATAATCCAATTTGCAAGCCTAGTTGAACAACATGCACCCATTTTATTTCCAGGACAGATGTCCTCATGATGAACTTTGACGGTCTGGACCCAGGAATGGGTGAATACGGACCCGCCCTCCATGGGAGTCTAGAGCCGGGTAGGGAGCCCTCAATGGACCCACGGCTCAATCCGGGCTTGTTGCAAGGTGTGGAGCTCGGTCCAGATGGTCTTCCCGTGGCCATACCCGAGTCTGTGCACATGATGGAGGGGATGTTCTCTGAGCTCCACAGTGTGCATGCAGAGGTGGGCGTTCCTGTCACAGCAACTCACTTTGACCTGCAAGAGGAGCTGCTCTGGATGGGAAACCACAGGGTAAGAGACAAATTATTATGTGCGAAAATAGGGTCGTTCCATGTAATTTCAGCAAGCCATGACACCCAATATCTTATATTATCTTAGATGGTACCATCAATCATTTTGTAATTTGGGTGAACTATCCCTTTAACATTGAGGGGGGGGGGGGGGGTCTAGTGTCTAGTGGTCAGAACCTGGTAATATCAGTATGTAGGATGGGACATAAACCTAACAACTTCAATGACATATTTCTCTGAACAGGGGAAAAAAAACAATCACCAAATTCACTGAGTACATTACGTAGGATGAAGAAAAATACTCAGAGCCGCAGCGCCATACTACTTATCTGACATAGAGAACTGACACTATATACTCTTTGTTGGGGTGGGATTGCCGTGGGGTGGGGGGGGGGGGTGTCCATGGGTGGCTTTTGACAATGTCTTTGGATTCCTCATATCTAACTAATTTGGTCCAAATCAGATGTTGGTTACTATATTTACTGAATATTATATGATTCCTATAAATTAAAATGGCCAATTTGGATGCAATCAATTAGCTTAATTTCTCATAGATCAAATAATATTTCAACAATATAATGTTGCAGGAATACTAATCTTATCTGTTCCACCTTTGAACGACCCAATAGGTTATTACTAGTACTTGGAACATGTGTCATATCAAATCAAATCAATCCAAATAGTCCGGGTAGCCATGATTAGCTGTTCAGGAGTCTTATGTCTTGGGGGTAGAAGCTGTTAAGAAGCCTTTTGGACCTAGACTTGGCGCTCTGGTACCGCTTGCCGTGCGGTAGCAGAGAGAACAGTCTATGACTAGGGTGGCTGGAGTCTTTGACAATTTCTAGGGCCTTCCTCTGACACCACCTGGTATAGAGGTCCTGGATGGCAGGAAGCTTGGCCCCAGTGATGTACTGGGCTGTACGCACTACCCTCTGTAGTGCCTTGCGGTCAGAGGCCGAACAGTGATGCAACCAGTCAGGATGCTCTTGATGGTGCAGCTGTAGAACTTTTTGAGGATCTGAGGACCCATGCCAAATCTTTTCAGTCTCCTGAGGGGGAATAGGCTTTGTCGTGCCCTCTTCACGACTGTCTTGGTGTGTTTGGACCATGATAGTTTGTTGGTGATGTGGACACCAAGGAACTTGAATTCTCAACCTGTTCTACTACAGCCCCGTCGATGAGAATGGGGGCGTGCTCAGTCCTTTTTTATTTTCTTTCCTGTAGTCCACAATCATCTCCTTTGTCTAGATCACGTTAAGGGAGAGGTTGATATCCTGGCACCACACGGCCAGGTCTCTGACCTCCTCCCTATAGGCTGTCTCATCGTTGTCGGTGATCAGGCCTACCACTGTTGTGTCGTCGGCAAACTTAATGATGGTGTTGGAGTCGTGCCTGGCCATGCAGTCATGGGTGAACGGGGAGTACAGGAGGGGACTGAGCACCCCTGAGGGGCCCCCGTGTTGAGGATCAGCGTGGCAGATGTGTTGTTATCTACCCTTACCACCTGGGGGCGGTCCGTCAGGAAGACCAGGATCCAGTTGCAGAGGGAGGTGTTTAGTCCCAGGGTCCTTAGCTTAGTGATGAGCTTTGAGGGCACTATGGTGTTGAACGCTGCGCTGTAGTCAATGAATAGCATTCTCACGTAGGTGTTCCTCTTGTCCAGGTGGGAAAGGGCAGTGTGGAGTTCAATAGAGCTTGCAGGAGTGCAATAGATGTTTTGTTCACTTTCGTTTTTGTTGGCACTTTTTGTGTAAATATGCAATATGTGCTATTCGGCACCATTTTTCTGTGATAGTAACTTGTTTCCCAACTCTCTTTTCCATAGGGGCATGCAATGTCCTTCTTTGGTTCGACAATGGGCCGCTACTCATCTTTCCAGGCGCACTCGACTGACGACATTCGTCAGATTCAAAGCATGGAGACAGGGGTTCTGTTTCTCTCTAAGAGTAATCTCAAGTGCCAAACTCGTGGAGGCCTGGTCATGTTCGACTACCCGTGAGTTGCATGCAAATGCTTATGCACATTCTTACTGATTTAGTTCTTACTGATAACCCAGTTATGTTATTATGCGAGCCATACAGCCATGTTTGCTTAGGTTCAAAGGTGGGTGCTGAAAGGATGCTTGCAGAAATGTATCTGTAGAATCAACATTCAGTTGAAACATCAAGTTACAGCTTCAGTTTGGATGTGCATCTTGAATACTGTACAGTATAGTGTAATTGTCTTAATTATTGTGTGCATTTCAGAATGGAGGAGGGAGCTGACATGCATAGTCTGCTTATGACAGAAAACAATACAATGCTCATGGGTGGACTACAGAATTATGTGCTTGAATTTGACCTTAATACTGTGCAGCAGACACAAAAGGTATTGCATAACATCAGCAAGTGAAAATATAACTATAGTTGCAATACATAATTTAGCCTGTATTTTTGGCCTATAGGCTCTTGAAAATAAGTGATTGAATAGATGAATAATTGTAAATATTGTGGATCTTTCCTTCCAATGCCTAGTTCACAGTCGAGGCTCCAGGGGTAGCTATCATGCGGCAGTCCAATCGTTTCTTATTCTGTGGGAACACATCTGGGAAGGTAAGGACAACAAGAGAGGCCCAAGGCCACCCATGTTTCTCAGTGTTTGGAAGATGCTACTAGGGCTTTTTACATACTTAATAATTCGTATTACTCATCATCTTGCTTTCCACAAAACCAGGTGTCTCTTTGTGACCTGCGCACTTTCAAGCTAGAACATGAATTTGATGCCTTCTCCGGTAGCCTGTCAGACTTCGATGTCCATGGCAACCTCCTGGCTGTATGTGGGTTCTCCAGTCGAGGGCTGAACAGACTGGCGTGTGACCGCTTCCTCATGGTGTTTGACCTGCGCATGATGCGCACTGTGACACCACTCCAAGTGCACGTGGACCCCCTCTTCTTGCGCTTCATCCCTACATACACGTCACGCCTGGCCATCATCTCACAGACAGGTATTGATCAAATGGGGAATGTGTTTGTTGTGCAGCCTGCTAGCTGTATTTATCAGCCTGCAGAAAATAACTGACCTTCTTTTCCCTCCATCCCCAGGAGAGTGTCAGTTCTGTGAGCCCACTGGACTAGCCAACCTGGCTGACGTATTCCATGTCAACACCGTGGGCCAGTTGCTCATGAGCTTCGATGTGTCCTCCAGCAAGCAGGCTTTGGCCTTTGGGGACTCTGGGGGAGGTGTGCACCTTTGGTCAGACGCCCCAGAGGTCTCCTACAACAGCTACTCACGGGAGACAGAGTTTGCTCTGCCCTGTCTGGTGGACTCCTTGCCTCAGCTAGACTGGAGCCATGACCTGTTGCCCTTGTCCCTCATCCCAATGCCTTTGACCAGCTCAGAGCCACTACTGTCAGACTGGGTCACCACACAGGCCACTCCCAGCCCTAGGTAGGTAACACATTGTTTTAAGACAAGTGTTGTGTCCTTTTGGGACTTTGATCTGCTGAAGTAGGCTATGTGGTGAATTCACTGCACCTCGAGGTGGGGTTATGCCAACCTCTTCCCAAAAGTTCCCGTAGATGTATTCTCTTGTGCCCGAAGGATCAATTGTCTTCTCCCCTCCCCCCAAAATGTGTATTTTCTTACTACCACTGACTGCTGATAACTTCTGTATTGAGGTAAAATGTTCTTACGACTATGATGTGGTTTTCTCACCTAGCTGTCTTAAAATGAATGCACTAACTGTAAGTCACTCTGGATAAGAGTGTCTGCTAAAGGACTAAAATGTAAATGACTTTCTCACCTTTTTATCCTCCAGACGAGCACCCCCAGTGGACCCAGAGATCCTGCGCACTATGAACTCTGTAGGGTTCATTGGTTACGCCCCCAATCCTCGCACACGTCCCCGGAACCAGGTACGTCACTCTTCCACAAATTCAGTGTATTTTTTTTTTTTACATTAGAAGCAATGGGTTTTCATCCATTTTTTTGTCCAGGCAGTGTTATCCAGGAAGAGTTGGGTACTGAACTAGGCTTGGCTTGTATATAAATCCTCTCCTGGTGACCCAATGTCCTGTTTGCTGTGTTTCAGGTTCCTTACAAGATCAAGGAGGTGGAGCTGGACTATGATAACTACAATCAGGGGGTTCCTGAGTCTCTTATTGGTCGAGATGAAGAACCTCACCTCTACATGGTGCCCAAGAAATACAGGAAGGTGTGTCTCTTTACTAATTACATTGTTATCTACCTGTAATTGTGAAATATGTGGTTTAATAGTATGAATATGTGTTATGAGCACAGTTCAATGTGGGTGTTGAGGTTAGCTTGTTGTGTTAACGATAAGACCTAACATCTTTGATTGTTTTGTGCCCATCAGGTCACCATCAAATACTCCAAACTTGGGCTGGAGGACTTTGACTTCAAACATTACAACAGGACCCTGTTTGCTGGTCTGGAACCTCACATTCCCAATGCTTACTGCAACTGCATGATCCAGGTGAGAATCGGAAATGAGTGGCGTTCATTTATATACTGTAAATATACCCAGGTTGATTTATATTTGTTTAATTTATCGAGCTCATGATTATTTGTTCATTATTTGTTCCCATTTACAAAGAAACATGTTGTAGGATTATTTCAGTGTGTGTTTTGTGTGTTTTCCCCGTGTGTCTGATTGGTTAGGTGTTGTATTTCCTGGAGCCAATCCGCTGCCTGGTCCAGAACCACCTGTGTCAGAAGGAGTTCTGTCTGGCGTGTGAGCTGGGCTTCCTCTTCCACATGCTGGACCTGTCACGAGGAGACCCCTGTCAGGTAGCCACCGATCATAGGAATAGAATGAATAGAAAGGACTTCTCCATTCAAGTCAATGATGGCATGATGGGTGGACTGGCAGCCATTTTGAGTGTACCCGTGCCAGGAAGTAAAAGCAGGAAGTATACCCTTCAATCTGTGCTATGATTTGTTAAATCAACTCAACTGACATAGATGTGGTAAATAAATCAATGGAACGCAGACTGTGGGGGATAGAAGGACGCCGGATTGGGGCACATTCAACAAATCTAATCTAACAAAGTGGATATTCATAAAATCCGTCATGATTGATGTATTGTAACAGGCCCACAATGTGTTTACTAAGTCAGATTTGCATATATTTGGCTATTTTTGCTGCATAACATTTAGAAGTTGTCCCTTTTCAGGTTTAGAAGTGACTGCTAAATGCTAACTCCCATTCGTATAAGCCGGTAGCATAGCTAGCACACAGAAATAGGTGGTGGTAGTCAGTCGTTTTTAACTGTAATGCAGTTGATTGGTGTTAATGACATGAACATGTATTGGGGTTCACATCCATACAAGCATTATACTCCAATTTTTTTACCTCAACAGTATGAAATACACATACAGTGGGGAGAACAAGTATTTGATACATTGCCGATTTTGCTAGTTTTCCTACTTACAAAGCATGTAGAGGTCTGTAATTTTTATCATAGGTACACTTCAACTGTGAGAGACGGAATCTAAAACAAAAATCCAGAAAATCACATTGTATGATTTTTAAGTAATTAATTTGCATTTTATATATACATTTCTGTGAAACTGTGTACGTTTTACTTGTGGATTTATTTAATAAAAATGTAAACTCAAGATTGGTGGCAGGTAGCCTAGCGGTTAAGAGCGTTGAGACTGTATCTGAAAGGTTGCTGGTTCGAATCCCCCGAGCTGACTAGGTGAAAAATCTGTCGATGTGCCCTTGAGCAAGGCACTTAACCCTAATTGCTCCTGTAAGTCGCTCTGGATAAGAGCGTCTGCTAAATGACAAAAATGTAAATCTATTTGTCTACATGCCGTTTTAAAAACAATGCAGCTATTGGAGTAAACCTATTTTGGGTTAAGACAAGTAACTTTGAGTAAGAATAAGACATCCGACTAACACTTTACATTTATAACGGTTGGTTTTAGTATATCTAATAAATAACCAAATCCTTGATGGATCAATAGATAAAAGAAATGCATGTCTCTTATCTGCCCCTGCAAGCCGGTCGGCATACGCGTCAACACACTCCCTCATCTGATTGGTCTTTTCCCATGAACGGTAAACCGGCATACGCATCATCACACTCCCTCATTTGATTGGTTGAGTAGGTGGGCCTTCTGACTTTGTGGCTGTGGTAACTAGTGACAACCTGTAGGGTCAGAGGTTTCAAGCCATTCTATTAATTATATTTCTATGCCACCGATAGCAATGACACATCTCACACTCTGGTCCATCTGTATATACAAAATAATAGACCCCTGTAGTAATGTGCTTATGTAGATGTAATAGAGTTGCAATAAAGAGAGTTTGATGCAGTTGTATAGAGGTAATAGAGCACTGTAATGTGTTTATGTATGCACTGAACTGACTGACCATAATTGAACCATCCTGCTGCCTACTCCCATTGCCATTCACTCATTGCAACCACTGTCCCCTCTAACCCCTCTCAAAGGCCAGTAATTTCCTCAGAGCTTTCCGAACAATCCCAGAGGCGTCTGCCCTGGGCCTTATCCTGGCTGACTCTGATGAGCAGACGGGGAAGGCCAGGCTGGGCCATCTCATCCAGAGCTGGAACCGCTTCATTCTAACCCAGCTCCACCAGGAGACCCAGGAGCAGGAGGGGCCACAGGCCTACCGAGGAGCCAGCAGCAGGTGACACCTTTTTCCTTTTGTTTTACACTTTTAATAGCCAAGCAATCAACAAAAACAAAAGATACTAGTTAAAATGATGTTCATTTCTTACACTCTCAATGTTAGGAAGTAAATCAGCTTGTAACAATTATTTAGTGTATACTAGAGCATCTGCTATTTGTGTTTAGTGTTGACTTTGGCTTGATAATTTTTTATGCTTTGTTGGTGACAGTGCTCTGGGCTCCTCAGGCGAGTCTGTGATCGGAAGGCAGTTTGGGTGTGAGGTTGAGAACAGCAGCCTGTGTCGCTGTGGAAAGGAGACAGTACGCTCCTCTCTCACCTTGCTCTTCACCATGCACTACCCTGAGCAGAACTCACTTGGTAAGTTTTCCCCTAATTATCTTTACTCTGCAAGCATTTGACTAGTATCACTGTTATTTGGGGAGTACAATGGATTTATTGATCATATATTGCTGTTTTACTGTAAATCCTATTCTGTTAGATAAGATGATAAAGGAGTACGACTTTGCTGAGATCCTGAAGAAGAGTATATGTCTGGAGCAGAGCACACAGGCATGGTGTGAGAACTGTGAAAAGTACCAGCCCACAGTAAGTGACACTTACTTGGTTGTTTGTTTATTGGTTGAGTCGATTCTTTAATGTGTTTTTCCTGTCCATCTATCTCTAGGTGCAGACACGGAACATCCGCTGCCTTCCTGATGTACTGGTCATTAACTGTGAGGTGAACAGTGTCAAAGAGGCTGAGTTCTGGAAGGCTCAGGCAGAGGTGAGTTTTGAAATCCAAACCATGATTGCCCACTTGAGTATTTCCTCCTACAATGGCAAATGCTAAATACAGAAGGCTATTGATATTTACAATGACATGATGGTCATATATTTAATTTAGATATTAGCTACAGGAGCACATTAGAGATTTAGTACTTCTATTAAACCGATGATGTTGGTTGTGTTTCCAGTGTCAGTAATATTTCGGCACAAAGTTATTACAATGAATCAACCTGTTCCTCTCTCTCCACAGTACGCTTTCATCAAGGCCAAGAAGAAAGAGGAAATGGAACCCCTTAAACCCAAAGAACCACCACCACAACAACCAACTGAGTGGTGCCTAGAGTAAGAATGATGAAACTTTACACATATTTGGCTAGTGACAGTTCATACTCTCATGGAAATATTGATGGGATATCTTGTTAGAACTATGATCATCTGACATTTTGTTTTTGAATTGTTACCCTGCATCGGGGTTAGGGCCAATTCAGGAAGTAAACTGAAATTCAAATTTTCCTCAATGCACTTTTGATAACCTCTATGTTGTTTAGGGAAGAGCTGGTCAATACGGAGGGCCTGACCTTTGACACCAGAGTGGACGACCTGCGTCACGTCTGGATCCCTCTTACTCTGAAGATGTCCATCAGCAAAAGCCAGGGCCTGGAGATCAGCAGCTGGCCAGAGGAAGAAGAGGTGAGAGTAGGGTTGCAAAATTCCAGGAACTTTTAATAAATTCCCTGGTTTTCAAGAAATCCAGGGAAGTTCATGGAATTTTGCAGCCCTAGGTGAGAGACACAGAACAGCCAACAACTACTTTTACTTCACATTCATAGGCTCACTCACCAAATCATTTTTCAAGACTTCCATGGTTTTTCCATTTGCCTCCTTCTAGCTTGTTTTTGTTTTTCCGTACTGGTTTCAGTTTAATAGAATGATCTGTATTAGTACTGTATGTATGTCTTTAGCTGAGCTCCACTGAGGAGGCTGAAGGAGCATCTCTCTATGACTTGGTGGTTACTGTGCCTCATGTACTGGACGCTCGCACCGGAGGAAACCTGGTAGCACACATCAAAGTGGGAGAGACCTATCACGTCAGAAAAGAGGTGAGTGGATGGATAGATCTGTTAGAGCCAAAGTAGGAACATCAACAGACCTCAGGAGAATGGAAGGCTACACTGAGTGTACAAAACATTAAGAACACCTTTCCATGACAGACTGACCAGGTGAAAGCTATGATCCCTTATTGATGTCATTTGTTAAATCCACTTCAATCAGTGTAGATGAAGGGGAGGAGACGTTAAAGAAGGATTTTTAAGCATTGAGACTGATTGTGTATGTGTGCCATTCAGAGGGTGAATGGGCAAGACAAAATATTTAAGTGCCTTTGAACGGGGTATAGTAGTAATTGCTAGGCGCACCGGTTTGTGTTAAGAACTGCAACACTGCTGGGTTTTTCACGCTTAACAGTTTCCCATGTGTATCAAGAATGATCCACCACTTAAAGGACATCGACCAGCCAACTTGACACAACTGTGGAAAGCATTGGAGTCAACATGGGCCAGCATCCCTGTGAAACGCTTTCGACTCCTTGTAGAGTCCATGCCCTGACGAATTGAGTCTGTTCTGAGGGCAAAAGGGGGGGGGGTGCAACTCAATATTAGGAAGGTATTCTTAATGTTTTGTACACTCAGTGTATATATGCTAATAATAATATTATGAAAACCATATTTGACTAACTTATTTTTGTTCATGTTGTGGTTTAAGGGGGTAACACACCAGCAGTGGTATCTATTCAATGACTTCCTGATTGAGCCAATTGACAAGGTCATCTTTGCTTACTCACTGAATCAACATATCAAATATCTTATTAATTCCTCAAATATAACAAGAGTCTAAAATAAGTGTTTGCATTTTGTTTTTGTTTGTGTGTTTCAGGCGGAAGCAGCACAGTTTGATGTGAACTGGAAGGTGCCTGCCATCCTGTATTACGCCAAGAGAAACTACCACTCCAAATATGACCTACGCAGTAAGCAATCCTCTCATTGGCAGTACATCCAACCGGCCTCACAACCGCAGACCATGTGTATTGCGTTGTGTGGGCGAGCGGTTTGCTGATGTGAACAGAGTGCCCCATTGTGGAGTTAGGGTATGGTCAGGCATGAACAAAATTGCATTTTATCGATGGCAATTTGAATGCATAGAGATACCGTGACGAGATCCTGAGGACCATTGTGAGAGCCATTTTTTTTTTAAAGGTATCTGTGACCAACAGATGCATATCTGTATTCCCATTAATATGAAATCCATAGATTTGGGCTTATTGAATTTATTTCAGAATTACTGATTTCCTTATATGAACTGTAACTCAGTAAAATATTTTACAATGTTGCAAGTTGTATTTATAATTTTGTTCAGTATAGATAATACGTACAGGATATTTGCCTTGGTGTCAGTCCAAACCAGTACGCAACATAACCTTGACCACCTCTGTGAAGATGGGTGTTATTTGTGGTACTGTGTATGACTGTATTTATTACCTGTTTGAGAACACCCCCACCCCAACACTTGATGTCTGTCTTTCCCAGTTAAAAACCCCATCGAGACCAGTGTGCTGCTGACAGAGGCATCACTGGCGCGGAAGCAGAGGAAGAGCCACGCCACGTTCATCCCCCTCATGGTCAGTGAGATGCCCCAGGCCGGAGACCTCGTGGGACTGGACGCCGAGTTTGTCACCCTCAACCAGGTCAGTCTGGCAGAAGTGTGATTGCTTGATTTGGCATATAAGTTAGTGTGCTAGGTCAACAATGTATCTAGAAGGTTCCTTTTAGGTACAGTTTTGGATCCATTTTTCCTACCCAGATCCTAACCTTAATCATTAAACAGGTGTATAGTAGGGGCAGCTTCACCCTAGCAGTATAAACATGATGCTAATAATCAACAACAACAGTCATACATCTCTGCTTGGAGATCCATTGTTTAAATTCCCCCCTATGGACCAAATTCATGTCTTTGGGTATGTAGGAGGAGGCAGAGCTACGCAGCGATGGCACCAAGTCCACCATTAAGCCCAGTCAGATGTCTGTGGCACGGATCACCTGTGTGCGTGGTCAGGGTCCCAACGATGGAGTACCATTCATCGATGACTACATCTCCACTCAGGAGCAGGTAATGCAGCACCTCTCGCCCTGGCAATAATATGAGGACTTTAACAGGATGGATGGATGTTCAGATAATTATTGCTATGTAGTAAAATCAGATGTTGTATAACCACAAACAGTAAAGCTTCTTAACAAAAAGACTTCACTGTTTTGCTGGTGTAGGTGGTGGACTATCTGACCCAGTACTCAGGCATCAAACCAGGGGACCTAGATGCTAAGATTTCCTCCAAGCACTTGACCACTCTGAAGTCAACTTACCTGAAGCTGCGCTTCCTCATTGACACCGGAGTGCGCTTTGTTGGCCATGGTTTACAAAAGGACTTCCGGGTTATAAATTTGCTGGTAAATTTGTATACTTAATTTATCTGATTGTTAAATTGAACCAAATGTACCTGTTTCTCTATACCCCTGGCCGCAGTTTTAGTAAAGATTATGGGCCGGTTTCCCAGACACAGATTAAGCCTAGTCCTGGACTAAAAATAATGCTCAATGGAGAATTTCCTTTAAAATTGCTTTTTAGTCCAGGACTAGTCTTAGTCCAGTAATCCAGCCCTGTGGGTTAGCTAGAAACAGTAGACAGGGTCATTTCAATGGAGGGAATTTGGGAGCTCATCTGTGTTTTTATGTTTCCTTGCTCAGGTGCTGAAGGATCAGGTTGTTGACACAGTCTACCTGTTCCATATGCCTCGTAAGAGGATGATCTCTCTGCGCTTTCTCGCCTGGTACTTCCTGGGTAAGAGTTTATACTCCTCAACCACTGTGTTTTTCATATAGAAATTACTACTTAGTCTGCCATTTTCCAAACTTCTTCATGTAACACAAAATTGTGTGAAATGGCAAAACTGCTACTTGCTTCTCCAGACCTTAACATCCAGGGTGAGACCCATGACAGTATTGAGGATGCACGCACCGCACTTTCTTTGTACAAGAAGTACCTGGAACTGAGTCGTGGAGGAGGGAATGACGAAGTACGCAAAGTTCTGAAGGGACTCTACGAGAAAGGCCGCAAGATGGACTGGAAAGTCCCGGACTGTGACACAGGAGATGGTTAAGGTAGCCAAAAGGTATGAAGCTCACATTGCATTAGAGAGTGTAATGTTGGTGGGGTTTGGGTATTATTGAGGCTAACTAAACTTTACTTACTGTTATTAGCAGTTTACAGTATCAATCAATCCACACTGATTGAATGTGGTCCCCTCCCACAGGTACAGCTGTCTTTCCCTCAGTGATGGGACTGTGAAGAGTGCCTGAAGACAAACTGATTCACTCTCTATTCCAATCAGCCTTTTCTTTTGTATTGTTACAACTAGGGCTAGCACAATTACCGTATAACCGTGTAACCAACAGTTATGGATGAAGACCTTCATGAAAAGAAAATAACCGTCATAACTGTTTTTTATTTGCTATTTGAACGGTTATAACGATGACCGCGGCAATTTGGCTGACCAATAACCGTCATCAACAATTCCATGACGTCACAGCCCTAGTTACAACAAGTTCTCACAAAGTATTGACTCCCATATTGTATGAAACTGGACAAGTCATCGACAAGAGCAGAATCCTGACAGAGGTTGTGTCAGTGTCCCAACTTTCCACATAATCTTGCTTGCCTGTACAGTATTTGAATAAGGACTGAACAGTTTTGATCTGCTCCAAAACAAAACTATTTCTGATTTAATCTTTCCTTTTCTATTTTTCATTAGATTTGAAGAGTGTTTGTCATTATGCTGTACATTGTGCTGCTTACATGGGCAAAGAATAGTATTTTGAAAATATGCTGAAGTTTTTGTAGTGATGTTTCTTGAGGCCTTTAATTAAAACGGAATATAGTACACTGAACTGTCTATTCATATTAATATATTCCTCCAAATTCATATTTTATATGATGAAGATGTGGGCTATTTGCTTAAAGAAATGTTTTACTTTGTGGATTATTTATACCATATATTCTACTGTAGTGTGAAATTAATGTGACATTAAGATGTTGCCAAATTCTTTAGTAAGTAATACTCCTCTAACATATTACTACTTTACAAAAAAAATACCTACATTTTTCTCTCTAAACAAGTGGATTATTTATCTTAAGACTTTACTACTTGTATATTTAAAAAACAATTATAGATCTAACTTCATTGGAATAAATCTACAACTTTTTTGTTGTTGAGCAAGAGCAGTGACAGCCAGGAAAAGTGTTGGGGATTTAATTTGGTGACATCTTGTGGTCTTAATGTGAATTACGGGGACGGGACGGGACGGGACGGACGGGACGGGACGGGGGGCTAGTTACCCCCTAGTAGTCACAGAAAATAATATATGTACAAAATGACCAAGTAGAAGATCTGGAAGGCAAGACAAATCAAAGTGACATATTCATATAATAAATAGTCTGATATCAAACTCTTGGTTCAGACCTTTAGGAGACATGGTACACAAATGGTGAATCCAATACAATTATTTTCTCAATAATAGATGATCAGTATCTCCCCCCTCCTGGGAGTCCTCCTGGATGTTCGATACAAATGTATCTCAGAGAGCTAATGTTGTGACGAGCCTCCATGAAATGCGCAGCCACAGGGTTTCTCTGTTCAAGAGTCCTGATATTATTCCTGTGTTCTGCTATCCTTGTTTTCAGAGCTCGTTTCGTTTTCCTACATACACCTCTGTTTTTCATAGTCTCCTTCTAATCAGGGGCTAATTCAGACCTGGGACACCAGGTGAGTGCAATTAACTACCAGGTAGAAATAAAAAACAGAAGTGTTTCGGCCCTCCAGGACCGGAATTGAATAACCCTGGCATAGACCACAAATACATATGACATTTTTTGTCGAACGCGTAATGATGCCCTTTAATTTTAATGGCCTTTCCCGTCATAGGGTGATTGAACATCGTGCATTTGTTCTTAAAGTTACACTGGGTACATCGGCCACATCTATAATTACCGTTCGGCACATTGTCTAGGAAGGTACTACGTGGCACTGGTGGAAGATCAGAACTCAATACCATTTGACTGATGTTGGGGACGCGTCTGAAGACTACCCGCGGGGGTTCTTTAAACGTATTTTCCAGTTGTGGATCAGTGCTCAAGATGTGCCAGTGTTTTTAATGATGTGGTCGAACTGTTTACCAAGTGGGGAGTACTGATGGAAGCGTTGGTCAGGAGGGCGGGGTGGTTTGGGCGTGAGGCTGTCATCCAGGGTCATATTTTGTAGAACGATCCCTTTGCGTCGTGCAGCCATTCCTCTGGGTAACCCCGCTGTTTTTATTTAGACATTTAGACAGGAGTAATTATATAATTTTGGCAAAACATCAATTTACTTTAAGCCACTCTGCACCCGCCAACTTTCCTTTCCAATTCGCAAGAGGCTGAAACCAGAGATCTGTATATAAGGACGAGATGCTCATGTCTCCACAGTAACAGTGGGATTCTTTGTCCCAAAGGCGGGAAGGCAAGCTTAGGTCCATAACGCCGGCCCTGAGCCATAGGGCTATTACTGTTTTAGGATAAGCTTTAGCAGTTGATGTCTTTATTAAGCCGCGTACAGACAGCTAGCAAAAACGCTGCCGCATCCATTGGTTTCCAAGTTAAAATGTGTTCTATGTTAGAAAAAATATGCTAGTTAGCACCAAAAAAGGGTTCTTAATTTGTCCCTGTAGGGGAACCCTTGGATCACTTTTTTTAAATAAAGGTTCTATTTAAAACCATCCACACATAGTTTTAACTTCATGAGAGGGTTCTAGGATTGCCCTACAGGGACAAATCAAAGAACCATAATGCTCTACATAGAACACATTTTTTAAGAACCATAGAGGGTTGGTTCTTTGATCTGCCCCTGTAGGGCAGGGATGGGCAACATTTGTGAGGAAAATATTTCAGCAGCAGAGAGAACATTTTGGTTTTAAAGTACATTTCCTGCAATTCTAAATTTTTTGCCATGGGGCTTAGAGAAAATGTTGCAGTTTTAAAGCACTTCTGCACATTTTGCCATGGGGCTTAGAGAAAATGTTGCAGTTTTAAAGCACTTCTGCTGCAATTCTGCACATTTTGCCATGGAGCTTAGAGAAAATGTTGCAGTTTTAAAGCACTTCTGCTGCAATTCTGCACATTTTGCCATGGGGCTTAGAGAAAATTTTGCAGTTTTAAAGCACGTCTGCTGCAATTCTGCACATTTTGCCATGGGGCGGAAGAAGATTTAGCAATTTTATAACTCATTTCATGCAATTCTACTCATTTTGCTATGAGTTGGAGAGAGAATTTTGAAGTTTTACAGCTAATTTCCTTCAATTCTACACATTTTGCCATAGGATGGAGGCAAATGTTTGCAGTTTTTAATATGATAACTGATGATCAATGGGCCCCACCCCGGTCAGTAATTTGATGCTATGTAGAACACATTTTTGAAGAACCATAACAGTGTCCTTTGATTTGTCCCTGTAGGGGAACCGCTATTGATGCTGAAACTTGAGGAAATGTGAAATAAGTTCCCAGACATTTCTCCCCTGGTTGTATCAAAGTGGCTCCAAGAAAACACTTATCTGAGTATAATGCTAACCATTGTTCACTTCGAAGAACCTCAAACTTTCAGAAAAAAAGGTTCTACCTAGAACCTAAAAGGATTATTCGGCTGTCCCCGTGGGAGAACCCTTTTGCGTTCTATGTAAAAAAAAACATTTTGGGTTCCATGTACAACCCTTCCAGAGAGGGTTCTACATGGAACCCAAAAGGGTTCATCAAAGGGTTATCCCACAGAGACAGCTGAAGATCCCTTTTGGAACCCTTTTTCCTAACAGTGATAGAGAATTACTTTTTACTTATGTCATCCATTCTCTCTTCTCTTCTACAGCGTAGCAGTTTAGGCGTAGCATCTGTCGTGCCATGCAGATGCAGGTGAGATCTTGTGTGGTTTCTGTATGCTAGGATTCTTTCCATGCAGTCTGTTAACATTTATTACAACAATGCATCATACCATTAGGCCTATATTCAACTAAGACCCAACTATACTGAAGATTTTCCATAGAGGATGCTTTTAAATCTATGGCAGAAGAATACTCTTTTTTGGAGGGGGAGGTATCCCAAATGGCAACCTAGTCCTTATTTAGTGTAGTACTTTTGACCAGGGCCCTAAAAGGGGAATAGGGTGCCATTTGGGACACACATTATTTTATTTAATAAGGGGATGTGAAATAAAATTATGTTCACAGGCCATGATGACCTACCCCGAGGTGATCGTTGGGAGCGTGAAGATGACCTCTGTCAGTAGGAGAGACATCTCCTCATTGATCAGCAACAGCACCTACAACCGATAATTGCTGGAGAAGCAACAGAAGACAGGTTTGAAACACTTAGAAGTTGTTAAATAGGGAAGTTCTTGACATGTTAAATGCAATGAATGGTGTTTTTCAGTTTGGGTGTCACAAACAACTATGAAACAGATTCTGCACAATAAAGAAATACTGAAGTAGCAGTTTGGTAGATAAAGTACAACATACATTTGATAATTGGGCTCGTTGTTAAGCCTTTGTCAAGTACTTGTTACAATGTAAAGATTAGACATCTAATCAACTTTATTTTGGGGCTTACATAGCTGGCTTGGTTCCAGAAGACAGGAAATAAGTGTTGGCGGAGCAACCAGTCCAACACCTGCTGTCTTCAATGTCACTAAGGGTCTATCTGACAAGTATTCTTTACACATCCTTTGTGTTCAGGGTAGGTATATCGACGGGTCCTAGTGCTGAGTGATTAGTGCTTTTTGAGGTTGGTTCGATTATTAAAAAATAATCACGGATTTCGGTTTCAATGATAATTTTTTCCATGACTACCATGATGGTAGTGACTGCCCATTACTGCTTATCACTTATTAACCATCATTTATTCACATTACTTTAATAAAATAAAATATTTCAGTTGTTGTGTATATTATATTTGTTTTATTTGATGACTTTACTATTTCATTCCAAGTCATCATCTCATCTCTATAGAGCTGCTGCCTATGCTGTCTAACAAAATCACTATTTTGTAGTTCTAAAAAGCAAATAAGGCATACTTTTATGACTGCTGAATACCAACTATCAATCACTTAAATGTATTTTCAGGTAGAGATACCTTGCCAAGCAACAGCTGCTCTACAGTGCCTTCAGAAAGTATTCATACCCATTGACATATTCCACATTTTGTTGTGTTACAGCCTGAATCCAAAATGTTAAAAAAATTAAGTTCTCACCCATCTACACAAAATACCCCATAATGACAAATGTATTGAAAATGAAATACAGAAATATCTCATTTACATAAGTATTCACACCCCTGAGTCAATACTTTGTAGAAGCACCTTTGGCAATGATTATAGCTGTGAGTATTTCTGGGTAAGTCTCAAAAAGCCTTCCACACCTCAATTGTGCAACATTTGCCCATTATTCTTTTAAACATTCTTCAAGCTCTGTCAGATTGATTGTTGATCATTGCTAGACAACCATTTTCAGGTCTTGCCATAGATTTTCAAGTAGATTTAAATCAAAACTGTAACTTGGCCACTCAGGAACATTCACTGTCTTCTTGGTAAACAACTCCAGTGTAGATTTGGCCTTGTGTTTTAGGTTATTGTCCTGCTGAAAGGTGAATTCATCTCCCAGTGTCTGGTGGAAAGCAGATTGAACCAGGTTTTCCTCTAGGATTTTGCCTTGCTTAGCTCCATTCCGTTTCTTTTTTATCCTGAAAAACTCCCCAGTCCTTAACGATTACAAGCATACCCATAACATGATGCAACCACCACTATGCTTGAATGGAGAGTGGTACTCAGTAATGTGTTTGTATTGGATTTGCCCCAAACATAACACTTTGTATTCAGGACAAAAAGTGAACTGCTTTGCAATTTTTTTGCAGTATTACTTTAGTGCCTTGTTGCAAACAGGATTCATGTTTTGGATTTTAAAAATTCTGTACAGGCTTCCTTCTTTTCACTCTGTCAATTAGGCTAGTATTGTGGAGTCAATACAATGTTGTTGATCCATCCTCAGTTCTCTCATTCCACAGCCATTCAACTCTGTAACTGTTTTGAAGTCACTATTGGCCTCATGGTGAAATCCCTGAGCGGTTTCCTTCCTCTCCGGGAACTGAGTTAGGAAGGATACCTGTATCTTTGTAGTGACTGGGTGTATTGATACACCATCCAAAGTGTAATTAATAACTTCACTGTGCTCAAAGGGATATTTTTACCTATCTTCCAATAGGTGCCCTGTTTTGAGAGGCATTGGAAAACCTCACTGGTCTTTGTGGTTGAATCCGTGTTTGAACGTCACTGCTCAACTGAGGGACCTGTGTGGGGTACAGAAATAAAAGAATAATGTTTAACACTATTATTGCACACAGTCCATGCAACTTATTGTGACTTGTTAAGCACATTTTTACACCTGAACTTAGGGGTTGAATACTTATTTACTCAAGACATTTCAGCTTCTCATTTTTTATTCATTTGTAAAAATGTTTTCGTATTAAAATAATTCCAGTTTGAAATTATGGGTTATTGTGTGTAGACCAGTGACAAAAAAATCTCAATTTTATAAATGTTATATTCAGGCTGTAACACAAGGGGTGTGAATACTTTCTGAAGGCACTGTAACTACAACACAAAATCCATAATACATCAATATAACACTATTACAATGTACGTGTGTAGAGATCATGTGTTAGCATGTGTGTGCGTATACATTTTTCTGATTTTACTGCTTGCATGAGTTATTTGATGTGGAATAGAGTTCCATGTCATGGCTCTATGTAGTACTGTGCGTTTCCCATAGTCTGTTCTGGACATGGGAACTGAACAGACCTCTAGTGGCACGTCTTGCGGGGTATACATGGGTGTCTGAGCTGTGTGCTCGTCTTCAACTGACAGCTCGGTGCTTTCAACATGTCAATACCTCTCACAAAGACAAGTAGTGATGCAGTCAATCTCTCCTATTTTGAGCCAGGAGAGAGACACGTTATTGATAAAGCTGCGCTTTATTACAGACAGACCTATCCCCATCTTAGCTACCGTTTCATCAATATGTTTTGACCATGACAGTTTACAATCCAGGGTTACACCAATCTGTTTAGTCTCCTCAAATTGCTCAATATCCACATTATTCATTACAAGATTTTGTTGAGGTTCAGGGTTTAGTCAATGATTTGCCCCACATACAATGCTTTAATAGTTGAAATATTTTAGACTTATTTCTTGCCACCCATTGCACGGCTTAAGACCTCGGCAAAAACTTCAAAATTAATTTCAGTTTTATCTTAGATTAATTTGTACCATTGTGAGAAAGTATTATGGCCATGTTGTTGCTATGGTGGCTCAAGAGGGACAAACAGTAATATTGCTTTCTTCTCGCTTTTGAAGCGAAGGTCTTTAGCGAGTATGTGAGCACAGACTTTCGCCTAGCTGAGTTCTGCTAGGAGCAAACCAAACCTATGTATGAGGACGCCTTAAGACATCTACAATGCTGAAGATGGTATACTAAGGCAGGGGTTCCAAAACTCGGGGCCCCCCTTCCAGCATTGGGGAACATCCCCCCTGCACCACAATCCAGTATGGCAAATTAAATTACAATTCTTACAATCCAAAATGCTGTAGTATAGAGCCAAATTTACGACTAAGCTTCATTGTCCACATAAGAGGGGAGTGCAGTTAATCATAAAATGAGAGGTGATAGCCAAGCTTATCGCATTTTTGTTGTTGCTTACAGTTAACTTGACCTACGGATCTGTAAAATACAGTCACATTGAAATGGACTGTGCAACATGAAAAGCATATGAAGACAAAGGACACTTGTGTATTGCAAACAATTGTGTTTAATAATAAATGAAAAGTGTGCCTTGCCATGTATTGGGGGGAGGGGCTTGTATTGGAATAGATGGGGAGGGCTGTGTATACAAGAGGCGCTTGTATTGGAATGGATGGTGAGGGCAGATGTCTTTGGTCCAAACTTGGTGATAGTGGTAGGGAGGGGGGTATTGAATGAATTGGAGGGAGACAAGAGAAGGCACTTAAGTTTACAGTTGTCATAGGTAAACCATATGCTCAATATGTATATAACATACAAAATGCCCCATGTGAGCACAACACAATTATAGCTACATATATACAGTAAATATTCAGGAAAGAAAGAAAAAATTATGTAAAAGGAAAAAAATGTTACTCAACCTAGAATAGATTATCCCATTGTAAAACAATCAATCATTTTTTTTATAGGCAGAGTAAGAAAAAAAGGCAGCAACTCGAACAGGACAACATGATCTCTTTGGCGATAACCTATCCAGATAGTTTGGAATGCTGTGAATGTGACTTTACATACATTTGGTAAAAGAGCAATTGAGACAGGCATCATTCATTCCCTATGAAGAATCAGTCTAGCTATTAACAAAATCAAACCTCAACAGGCCCAGCACCAAAAGGTAACAACTAGCAGTGTGTTGTGGAGATAAAATGCTCTGTACTGTAGTGCATGCATCTCCACTAATGTGCATTATGATTACTGAGACTATATTTACAGTGCAGATTTGAGATGAGGAACAATTAGCTGAAGGCTGGAAGATCTTGGTGTTGGCTACCAAGCCTTACCTGCTCAAGCACAGTCGCTGATACATGCCAAGTGATCTGCCCTACTGTATACACTGCACTTCCCCAGAATATTTGTAAACCACTGAACAAACAAACCAGAACTACATAATCTTTACGTTGATGTGCAATATAACAAAACCAATAATTAAAGACATTTTCCTCATGACCAAACTATACTCCTATAAAAAGAAACTTCAGTACCTGGGGGGGGGGCAGTCAGACTAAGTTTCTCTCAATTCTTCTACTCATCGGTATGACCCTTTGGTACACAGAGGAAACAGCTAGTTTGTATGATCTTATACACATGCCTTGCAGCTTGACATGACACCACTCTGCTTTCGGTAAATGGTAAGCCATACCAAGCCCTATTTCAAAAGAGCATTCAGGCCTCTGAAAAGCAAAGCCCAAAAAGCAACATTATGCTACCAGGCAGTGTACAAGGGGCAACAATGAGCTATTTCTCCAGATTTTGTTCAGTTATTGTAGACATTACAAAGAATCTGAAATCCATGCATTACCATTTCAATTTGTCCCAACTCAGCAACCATAAAACGTGTTCGAAATAAGACCGAAACAGCATACAGAAATTTGATCCGATTTTTTCCTTCTCTAGGATATGATTAAGAGGAAAGTGAACATATCAAAAAGGACAGAAAGTTCCTACAGCTCACTTTTCAGTAATGTAAAAGATCAGAAGTGTGTGCGCTTAACACTGTCTGTGATGCAAGCATCTCTGCATTTCTAGAAAGGCAAAGGTGAAGTTGCACTGTGATACAAGCCAAGCATGTCAAGTGTGTGCTGTTTATGGTCCTGTCTGAGACACACTGAACATAAGGAAAGAATGAGAAGACCAAATAACACCTGAATAGATGTACTAACAAAAGGGAAATCTTAATTCAGACCATACGTGAAGGGGAGTGTAGGTTCCTTTCTCATACCTGAGATTTGAGAAGTGGAATCCCACATAATAAAGTATGTATGTAATAAAGAAAAGGAGCCCTCTCCTTGGATTATACAATAACAATAGAGAGAAGGACAGGAAAACTATCCACTAAACAGTTCTGAATTTACATGTGAGGGAGGGAATAAACAACTGCTATCAGGCAACATCCAACATGATTACCTCTAGTTCACCTGCTAGTTCTGATTAACAACGTATTCATTGTACATTTCAATGAGTACATATTATTTACAGGAGCAACCAGTATATATGGAAAGCTCTAAACGAATAAGATACAATTATGTAGTGTTGATTGCATGCCATTGATGACAATCTCCCATACATACTAGTGAAACCATAGTAAGTGTGTCATGTATCGTCTAAAATACGGAGCTGAAATGGTTTGATGGACTGCAAAAAACTTGCAACCTAAAGCAAAATTATATGAATTTGATGCTTGAGAAAAAAAACTAAAAGAAATCATAACAGATCAAATAAAAACGCTACAAAATGCATATAAATCACTTCAGCCTCTGTGCTGAACTCCTCACCAGATAACACTGGCCTCTGAGATAGCAAAGATTAAATCACAGACTCACATGAGGGGACCTGGGTAGCTGCTATATCAACAGGCATGAGAAAATAGGTCTTAATAGCTCATTCTAAAGGATGGAGAAAATGGCAGAACATGGGTAGCTAATTTTCAAGTTAGGAGGATGAATGGTTGCCTATGGGTGGCACTACAGCTCAATTGACAAAATATGTAAACTTGTGTTCTATTCTTCATTGAGAGGAGTTAGTGGGGTGGGAGGGGCAGGGTATTGAGGGTGGAATGCCAGGGTTAGTAGGGGGTTTTGACAAATGGGCCAGGGAGTTCCGTGTCAGGGGCAGTGTGTCCTCGGAGGCCTTTGGGGCAGACCGTTATGAGAAGGGTGGTCTTGACGGTAAGAGGATGGAGTGGAGTTGGAAGGGCCTCTTGTGGAGTTGGAGGATTGTGTGGCAGTGGTGGTAGGATGGCTGGGGCTGTCGCCTTGGCCCTGGTTGCCCTGGTAACCCTGGGAACGGTAGCCTCCACGATTGGGGTTCCTGTCACGATAGGAGCTGCCATTATACCGCTGCCCACCAGAGTGGTACCCTGGGCCCGCCGTGTAACGCCTGTTGCCTAGGAAAGTCTGAAAGTTCAAGTTTAAAATCACTGTTAAATCACATAAAACAATCATATTACGTTGATAATTATTACTCCTAAGGAAACAACATTACTGAGAACTTAGTTGCATGTTTATGATTGCTTTGTGAGCTGACCGTTTTGTTTGGCTGAGTAGGGCGTCCTTCGTAGCTGGAGGGAGGTGGGGCTTCTAGGGACCCTGGGCCTGTGATGGAGGAGGAGGTGGAGCTACAGCGGGAGCGGCTGGAGTAACCCGTCTGAGGGTGGTACACTGATCAGAGAGGGTGACACGAGGGCAGGTGTTACCATAGAGATACATATTATTATTATACAAATATGTGTTCTATTTAATTCTGTGGCCATTCCTATCAAGGATATTGATTTATTTCCCTCTAAATAGCAATGCAATACTGTACTACCACAATGAGTTTCTGTGAGAAGATATCAATTAGAGAAGAACAAAGGACTGTACCTGATCCAAATCCTGTGATGCTTGTCTTCAGTGGATCAAGCTCGAAAGTGAACTTCACAGCTTTTCCCAGGTCTTCATCGAATTTACGTTCACTCACAAAGTGCTGCAAAAAAAGGAGACAAGACATATCATCACTGACCAGGAGTTACTGACTTGTCTTAGGTCAGATCATGGCTCAATTCCCACACAACACAGTCCCTGAGCCAGTGTTAATTAACAGTTGTACATTTGTCTTGACTATATTACTGTAAGTGTTATTACGGTAGTCAACTTACCTTTATGTCAGCGCGCAGCTCACTCAGTTGGTCCTCAGACATGGATGCCGATTGGTCAGTCAGCCTGCGGAGCTCCTCTGCTCTCTTTTGACGGCCATCCAAAATGGCCACTGAAACACAGATACACATTATTAGTTGACCGCTCACCCCATATTCAGAGGCCTTCAGTTGTACGGAGAGAAATCCACACAGAAGCAATATCATACTGAAACTTGGGACTAGGTATGTCCTCAATATCATAAGGTAAAGGGTAGGCCTATTAGTTGACCGGTTTCTACAAAATGGATCAGCTACAACACTGTATCCCTAAATAACTCCACAGGCTTTCCTGGTGCTGACCATTATCAGGACGGAGGGGGGGAAAATAAACACATGCGGAAACACAAACTCCCACATGCGGAAGAGTACTTTTTGTGTATCAGTTGCTAAGGAGATTCTCCTCATGAGGGAAAAAAGGGAAGAAAGCAAGTCTCATCCATTAACAGTAACACACATCTAAAGGAGGGGAAGATATTAGGGCAGAAACTGGTCAATTAGAAGGAATGTTGGGTTTTTGTAACGTCAATGAACTGCTCTAGTGTTCCCTCTCTTCTTCCCTCAATTCCCCACACACCTCAACACAAAGACAGCATTTAGTCTGCCTTGACAACTGACACTATTCACTTTTTCCAGGCTCAGAACACTACACTGTGCATTGGGAAGACGGAAAGAATGAGGGCAGAATCGCCTACAGTCTTGCTGTCATGTTTCACTACATAGAAGACTCTGGTATGCCTAAGATCCAAAATAACCCTGAGGAAATACATTTGAAGATCTCTATAGTTAGTCTATTTGGAATGTCCTAATTGTAGAGCTAACCCCATTTACTCGACTGGTCGATTGTTTGGTCGATAGGTTGTTGGTCGACCGAGATTTCTTTAGTCGAGCAGTCACTATTTATTTTTTTATGGTGCACAAAAAAGTTTTTGCTTCGTCATTATGGGGTATTGTGTGTACTTTGATGAGAAACAAACAATTTCATCAATTTAAGAATAAGGCTGTAACGTAACAACATGTGAAAAAAGTCAAGGTGTCTGAATAATTTCCAAATGCACTGTATATCTACAGAAATAAGACAGATCTGGCTTCTGTTGCCTGTGTGAGTGTTTGTTTAATAGCCTACTGATTCTGTGAGCGCGAAGCCTCATGCAACGGCAAAATGTCAGATAAAGCAATTTCACAGATTTGGCTGTAATAAAGGTTTTACAAAAATGTTTTCGTTAGAAGTAATACCAGTGTGTTCTAATTTATTTAGTGTATTTTACACTGTTCCAAACAGGCAGAAAAATTATATTGTAATCTAACGACACCGGTTTGTCACAAATAATATGCATGCAGCTCTCGCTCCTATACCCTCCTTTATCTTCATCTCCTTATTGTTATTACAATGATTATTATGATCATCATTATAATAATAAGTAACGTCGTTATCATTAGTAGGCTTGGTATAACCACCATCGAGCTTTAGGCCTAAGAGCGCATACTGTTTAGTCTTAATACCGTAACTTACTTAGGCCTATATTTCAATATATTGGCTACTGTATCAATCAATCCTTAATTCGTTCATGCCATCACACAGCATGAGACATTCATGCTTTGAAATCCAATCAAGCATTTTAGTTTTTAAATTAAATAAAGGGTGCTTTGAATAATTAGCCTGAACAATAAATAAACCGGAATTCACAAATACATGCAACTATTTTTAGTCTGCTGTAATAAAGGCTTTATATATATACACACACACACACATAGATATACATATATACATTATATATATATATATATATATATATATATATATATATATATATATATATATATATATATATATATATATATATATATATTATTTTTTGTTGTTAGAACAGACTGTTAACACTTATTTATTTAGTGTTGTTTACACTGTTCCAAATGGTCAGAAAAAATGATAATATTGTAATCTAACAGCACACAATGCTCACGCAACGCTTGCTCCTATACCCTACTTTTTTCTTGATCTCCAGTAGTTTCCACAACTAAGTCAAATGTCTTCCACAGATCTGACTTCCCCTTTCCCTCCTGAGCAACCATTAAACAGTCCGTTTTCTTTTTCACGTCCTCCGCATCCATTTTGCTGTCGACATTGTCAGAGTTTGTTATAACCAAATTTCTTGATGTGATTATGATAGGCTATAGGTCAGGCCCTATTGGTCATATGCATGCGATGCTTACATGTTTCACGTAAAGAGAGCAAGGAGGAATAGGGAATGTTTTTCGTAAACAAATTAGGGATTTCGGTAACAGAACTTTTCAGTCACAAACAATTCAGAACCTAAATGACTGAAATGTTGCAGCTTCAGCACGAACAGCGCAATAAACATTTGCTGTGCTGTGGTGCCTTTTCGCTGCAGTAGGGAGAGCGAGACAAGCGCCAGACACAGCGCTGAGTACTTTGTGTGTCTTAATTATTGAATCAAACAGTGTGATTAAAGCATCAGACAAGCTCAGTGCATATGTAGTTGATTTTATTCAAACACATAGGGTGTGTGTCTATATATGGAAAAATACGTTTAAACATTTCGACCAATTGATTGGTCGAAAGAACAGGACGACTCTCGATCAACCAAGATTGTTTTTCGTCGGGGACAGCCCTACCTAACTGGGACAGCCCTACCTAACTGGGACAGCCCTACCTAACTGGGACAGCCCTACCTAACTGGGACAGCCCTACCTAACTGGGACAGCCCTACCTAACTGGGACAGCCCTACCTAACTGGGACAAAGGCTTTCAGAAAAAAGAAACATAGTAAGAATAGAAACAAAGTATAATATACATTGAAGTCCAAATGCTAATTAAAAGGCATCGTACTCACTGGCCTCTGCTTTGACTTTGTCCATCTCTGTCAACAGTGTAACCTCTCTGTCCATTAGACTAAGAGAGCGAGGGGGGGGAGAGAAAGAGGAAGAGGGGGTGGGGAGGGGAGAAAGAGCAAGATATTAAATGACATGTTCTTTACTACGATAAGGGGATCATGATTCTTTACATTTCTAAGATAAGATAGTCTGTACTTTGATTTAGGCTACACTCACCATTTGTATACTACAATAACACTGATTAGCTGAAATAGATACTGGTGGTGGTTGTTGTAGAGCAGAGGTTAGAGCAACGCACCAGGCGGTAAATTAGTTAATAGACCAATAACAAAAATAATTCCCAAAATCTCTTCCAATAACAGCTAGTTTAAAGTTTTCCCCTCCCACCCTGACCACTCCCAGACAGTCCTAGCAAAATTATTGCTTGTGAAATTGCTCTTGGCTATGAAGCTATTTGTTTCTTTTTGATCATTTTAATTAAAAACAAATTACAGTAAGGTCCTTAGTTGTTACCCAAAAATGATTTGATATTGGGCTAAAAACAGCTGCATTGGACCTTTAAATCAAGGCTCCTAAATTGCTTAGGTAAACATTCTGCTTAACATAATGGAATTTGTGCTATGTTATATCCCACCATAACAAGTTAATCACCAATTCAAGTTAATATTCCAAATATAAAACTACAACTTTACAAACTAATGTAGTGGAGGTAATGTTGGTAGATGTACCAGCTCTGGAGCTCAGCAAACGTCTGCTTCATGGTCTTGATAGAGGAGTCCATCTCATCCTTGACCACCACTCTGTAGCGAGTGAGCGACACTGTGCATCTCTGCAGGTCCTTCACAGAGCGGTCAATGTTGGGCGCTGAGAGTCAAAGAACAGGGATAGACTAGACATCACCTACTGTCTTAGAAAAACAAAGCATTACTATTTTTGTTTTAAAGAAATTTGGCACTAACCAATCTTCTTGGCTCCAGACGATCCCTGTTGGTTCTCATCAGTGGTGAGCACAGCGGAAGTTGATTGCTGGGAGTTAGTTCTGGAACGGAACTTGTTGCCACGGGGAGGCTGGTGATTCCTTCCTCCTTGAGCATGGTGAGGGGTGGGGCTTGGGCCACTACAAAGAGAGTCTGCTTCCGCAACTGTAAGGAGAAAGACACTGCAGTGTGATGTTTTCCGATGTGTAGGGGTTGGTTTCAACTACATGGAGGATTATCAAAAGTCTTGTACAGTCTCAACAATCAAAAGGTCGGCTGATGGATAAAGCCACGGAGACCTCTCCATATCAATACCTGTAATGTCCGACGTGGCAGGTTCAGAATCCAGCTCAGCTGCGTCCAAGGAAGCAGAATCCAACTGCTCACTCAGAGAGTCTAGTGAGTCTCCGTCCAACACGGAGCCATTGGCATGGAACCCATTCACAGCTTCCTTACTCTCCGTCTCAGAGGGTTGTGTGGTCTCAGCTGGAGCAGGCTCCTCTGCCGGAGGCTCTGGCTGGGGCTTGGGCTTCTTTTTCTTCTTGGGCTGGATGTTGAAGAATCAAAGTTGGATTTTAACCACTAGAATAAAACCTTACACAGCTTTTGAAGTTCATATATAATTCATATATAGCAATGGTTGAGCAGGTTGTAGGTCCTCATGACACAGACACCATATTTTCAGCTAGAGCTGCTGACTTCAAAGCAAAATAGGTGATAGGTGAAAAGAGAAAATAGATTTTTTAAAAAATACACATTTCCTTTGACTAGCATTTAGAGTTTAAAAGTTAATTACATTTCAAGTTAGTGTTTTTTCCCCTCAAAATCTGGATGGGTCTGTCACTGGAAGAATATCTTTGGAACTTGTTTAAAAAAAATGCTGTCTCATAATCCTGTGAGGGATAGGCCGTACTTAAAACGTCATGATGACGCATGAAAATACATTTCATTCATACTCATGTTGCCCTTTCATATAGAATGCAATACCCTGCAGTATAGGCCAACATAAACAAGGTTACCTTCTTTTTACCAGTTACATTCCACTCCTTCAAGATTTCCACAGCACTACCTGAGAGGAAAAGGAAGTAATTATGAGGAAAGCTCTCTCCATAACAGCCTTGACCTTGTTCATGACACACAGACAACGTTTCACATTACAACAAGGAACACTCCTTGTTCTATAATCGGAGTCATGACTCATTCTTGAAATGCATTCTGTTACACCTAGAAGTTATGAATGACATGAGCTATGTACAAAAATTAACAGGTAAATCCACTCGATTGATGTGACTGCGTCATACATCAGGTAATTAGATGGTGACTGAATCCAAGAAACACAAGTTATACTTAATGTATGCAGTTTGAACCAGTGTATTCTTAGATTTGAAATAAAAAAGGTATTTTCCATTCATTTGATTATGGTGTCTGTTCTATATCACAACAAGAATTATCACTACGGCATTCCCATACCTTCTAGGAAAGCCTGGACGGCCTTATCAACGCAGTTCTCAAAGTGCTGCAAGACCAGAACTATCTCATTGTTGCTTTTGTTGGGAACAACGGCCCTGACAGCGCTAATCTGTGAAGAGAACAAATAAGAGAGAAATTAAGAAAGGAAAAGCTTTAGCATAGTGATACATATCCCAAGGCCAAGGGCCTTCTCACCGAATAAAACCTACTAGCAAAAGAGGAATAGCACTTACTGTATTCAAATCAATGCAATTGGAATGTTGTTATGCCTAGAGATAAATAATTTGCAGTCCTTACCTTCTCCTTCATTCTCTCAAAAGTCCCTCCCTGGGACATAACCATTTTCAAGTTAGTGTCGAACACCATACCAGAGGTATCTGGGGGAAAAAGAGAGAAAAGATTGATTGAAAAATAAAGTTGATTTGGAATTTCTCATTGTTTTCTGCTGGACCCAGGTCTATTTGCAAAACAATTGTAAATGCATAGGCACATCATTTGCTAAACAAAACTCTCCCCATACCTAGTCATTCCTGGACATTCAAAGTTAGGCCTATTTGTGTTGAAAGTAAACCATGGCGGGGAACACAGGGATTATCATAAATCATGTGGAACAGACAGAAGAGGTGATTTACATGAAAAACCTATTAGGACCCAGATATTCCCTTAATGGGCGAATGTGACAAGATGCTTGATGACCTCTCAAGCAAAATATGTATACATTTAACAACTGTTTCAAGTTGCTTGAGGCCTAGGCCTAAAGATTTTACAACACCTCTAATGGCTTTATATAGGTTATGGGCTAGGACCAAAATGAACTGGCCCTAGAGCCATGAGATTTGGCTCAAGAAATCTTAGCATCTGGACTGGCCGTAAAGGACCCGAGATCTGCATTGAATTTGAACAGGTTATAACTGATGTACAGTTGTAGAAACAGAATGAGTCAGCAAAGCAAGGCCCCAAACAAACTAAGCTCAATGAGATGAGAAACAGCTGGGTTGCTGTGACCCAAATACATGTGGCATGACCAAAGAATGCCAGAGGACAGTTTTTTAACAATGACAAACTTTATAACAGAAAATGTTGTACTCTGCAAGTCAAAGACAGTCCTAATGGAGGGCTTCATTTCAGAAAGTTAATAAAATAGCCTAAACTTATTTCGGAGAAAAAAAGCTGGGACCCTTCTAAAGGCATCCCATCCAACATTGACTGCATGGATGTCATTTCATATTGCTGTCCATCTCTCTCAGCGATCCCCAGCTATTGTGTTTGAAAAGATCCATTCTAACTCAATAAGAGGTCTTGTAGACACTTGATGAATTTGCATGTCAAGTGCTGCTTCCTTAGCCTGGTGCCAGCTATGTTTGTGCTATCGTGTCAACTCCTTGTCATACCAAACATGATGTACCAATGTTTGACATAACAAGGAGTTGACATGATAGTTCAAACAGATCTGGGACCAGGCTACTGCTTCTTGCAGTGAGATACAGCAACACAACAAGTTAGAGCAGCAGACTAAACTTCCACCATTTACAAACACTTATCTAGGAGGACAACTTTACAAAGGGTCAATCACTTAGGCCAAGGGAGGGACTATAAAAATGAGTCACATTGACTTGACTGTATTTGAGATTCAACTTTACACATCTAAAATGCATTCTCACTAGTTATTGCATTTTCAATGCTAGTTAATCTGCTTTTAAAAACATAGCAGACTAATAGTAGCAGTGGGCTCCCGAGTGGCGCAGCGGTCTAAGGCACTGCATCTCAGTGCTTGAGTCGTCACTACAGACCCCCTGGTTCGATTCCAGGCTGTATCACAACCGGCCGTGATTGGGAGTCCCATAGGGCGGTGCACAATTGGCCCAGCGTCGTCCGGGTTTGGCCGGTGTAGGCCGTCATTGTAAATAAGAATTTGTTCTTAACTGACTTGCCTAGTTAAATAAAGGTTAAATAAATAAAAAAAGACATACCCTTCTGGCTGTTTTTCTTCGCCATGTTGTAACTCCACTAGTCCAAAAGCTATAGTAAGTAGGTCACAGCTGATAAGTGTCCCAGTGTATAGCTCTTCAAATAAAAACAAAAACAATATGCGCTTTTCCAGATATTCCGCTTGATCTTGTTTCCTAAGTGGAGACTTCAGCTCTTCATGTGTATAAATGTTCCTCCTTGATTTCTCCCTCTCAGACAGGAAGCCAACAAAGGCTCACAACTCTGGCAGTGGAAGGGGTTGGTGTAGGCAGGGTCAGATCAGGCCTCCACCACTTAGGCTTGGATTCAACTTTTCTTCTCCGTTCTCCACGAAGTTGATCCAATTCTGAAAAAAGGAGACAGGGAAATAAGGTTACTCTCTAGGGTTGATGTAATACGCACAGAGGATTAAAAACAGAGTTTCATGAGACGATCCAATGGAACAGACAAACACTAGTAGTTCGTAATGAATCTTGCTCCAACAAATGCACACAAAGGAAAATGGTTGTAACATTTAGCATATTCAGACAGAATAACTATTACATCGGTGCCGGTCAATTCCATGGTAATGGAATTACGCTTTGACTCAGATCTCTCTTTAAAACGAATGCAAAACGAATGCCAAACTAAAACCAAAATACAACTATGCACAAGGACTACTTTGAAAAATGTACACAACAATTCATAAAAACACGTTTACTGGAAGAACTGTGCAGATGCTAAATTTGGTTACAGAATTATGGTCAGATCTCCCTCAGTTATTTATGCAACCATGTTTTCCAAAAACATAAATATCTGCTCCGAATTAAGATTCAAAGATGTTTGCAGAAAGAATGGGGTGTCACCTATGACAGGATATCTTGAGTTTAAAAATACATTTTGGATATTGAACCACAGTAAGTGAAGTGAATTTACATCATGGGTCCCTGATCTGTACTATACAGAAATGTACAGGCTAATTATGGATATGAATATCATTCTCTTCAAGGTGATGCATCCTGAATAGGTACACAAAGGTAGACATATGGAATACCGTAAGACTTTTTCTAGCAGATGCTTTCTAAGAACCATTTCCATCCATTTGACCAGAAATCTAAGCCTATGCTTATTCCAAATGTTAGGATGGGAAATGGTTGAAATACATACACTACCAGTCAAAAGTTTGGACTCACCTTCTCATTCAAGGGTTTCTTTATTTTTACAATTTTCTACATTGTAGAATAATAGTGAAGAGATCAAAACTATGAAATAACACATATGGAATCATGTAGTAACCAAAAAAGTGTTAAACAAATAAAAATATATTTTATATTTGAGATTCTTCAAATAGCCACCCTTTGCCTTGACGGCTTTGCACACTCTTGGCATTCTCTCAAATAGCTTCATGAGGTAGTCACCTGGAATGCATTTCAATTAACAGGTGTGCCTTCTTAAAAGTTAATTTGTGGAATTTATTTCCGTCTTAATGCATTTGAGCCAATCAGTTATGTTGTGACAAGGTAGGGGGGGGGGGGGGGGGGGGTATACAGAAGATAGCCCTATTTGGTAAAAGACCAAGTCCATATTATGGCAAGAACAGCTCAAATAAGCAAAGAGAAATGACAGTCCATCATTACTTTAAGACATGAAGGTCAGTCAATCTTCAAGTGCAGTCGCAAAAACCATCAAGCGCTATGATGAAACTGGCTCTCAAGAGGACCGCAACAGGAATGAAAAACCCAGAGTTACCTCTGCTGCAGAGGATAAGTTCATTAGAGTTACCAGCCTCAGAAATTGCAGCCCAAATAAATGCTTCACAGAGTTGAAGTAACAGACACATCAACATCAACTGTTCAGAGGAGCCTGTGTGAATCATGCCTTCATGGTCGAATTGCTGCAAAGAAACCATTACTAAAGGATACCAATAATAAGAAGAGACTTGCTTAGGCCAAGAAACACGAGCAATAGACATTAGACCGGTGGAAATGTGTCCTTTGGTCTGGAGTCCAAATTGGAGATTTTTGGTTCCAACCGCTGTGCCTTTGTGAGATGCGGTGTGGGTGAACGGATGATCTCCGCATGTGTATTTCCCACCATAAAGTATGGAGGAGGTGGTGTTGTTATGGTGTGGGGGTGCTTTGCTGGTGACACGGTCTGATTTATTTAGAATTCAAGGCACACTTAACCAGCATGGCTACTACAGCATTCTGCAGTGATACACCATCCCATCTGGTTTGGGCTTAGTGGGACTATCATTTGTTTTTCAACAGGACAATGACCCAACACACCTCCAGGCTGTGTAAGGGCTATTTTACCAAGAAGGAGTGTGATTGAGTGCTGCATCAGATGACCTGGCCTCCACAATCCCCCGACCTCAACCCAATTGAGATGGTTTGGGATGAGTCGGACCGCAGAGTGAAGGAAAAGCAGCCAACAAGTGCTCAGCATATGTGGGAACTCCTTCAAGAATGAGTAGGTGTGTCCAAACTTTTGACTGGTACTGTGTGTGTGTGTGTAACACACACACACACAGTGGGCTCCAAAATGATTGGCACCCCTGACTGGCAATGCACAAACAATACTTATAAAAATATAAACAATATAATTATAGAGAAACTCAAAATACCAACGTGAGAAATACTGCACTTTATTAATGTTTCAATGGAACCAACCAAAATCATACAATTATTTCATACAAAATAAACGTCGCCAAAATCAAGGTTTCATAATTATTGGCACTCCTCATTTAGTACTTCACCATGGGTATGAGGTGCCTCTCCTTGTACGCATCTCTGTTTCGAAGCCAAACATGCTGATGCTGTATCTGACCAAATTTTGGTCTCATCTGACCAGAGCACCTTCTTGCAGTCATAATTGAAATGACGTTTGGCAAACTCCAAGCGCTTGCGTCTGAGTCTTGGGATCAGAAAGAGCTTTCTTCTGGCAACCCTTCCAAAAAGCCTGTGGTTGTGGAGTTGGCATCTGATGGTGCTTTTTGAAACCTGGTGACCCCAAGATGCCACCAAGGCCTGCAATTCTTGGGGATTTTGTTGCTTCTCTCACCATCCTCCTCCCGATCCTGGGGGGCAAAATGCATTTGCGTCCTCTACCCATGAGGATTTAAACTGTTCCATATATATTTTTTGTTTTTTATAAATTGCCCTGACAGTGCTCAGTGGTATATTCAATTGTTTGTGGATCTTGTAGCCATTACCAGATTTATGAAGGTCTACGACAATCTGTCTCTTTTGAACTGCCAGATCTTTTGTTTTCTTCAAGGTGTTTGGATGACAAAGGGATATTGCATGCATGTTACCTCATTTTTATACCCTAGTGAAACAGGAAGTGATGTAATGGCTCAATATAGTTCCTTAAGACTTAGATAAACTTAAATACGTGGAATTTAATTCCTGGTTTAATTTTGGTAGATGTTATTTACAATAATCTTTAAGGGTGCCATTAATTGTGAAACCTTGATTTGGTGTACATAGATTTTTAATTAAATCAATACATTATTTTGGTGGGTTCCATTGGAACATTAATATAGTACAGTATTTCTCACATGTTGGTATTTTGAGTTTCTCTATAATTATATTGTTTATATTTTTTAAAGTATTGTTTGTGCATTGCCAGTCAGGAGTGGCAGTCATTTTGGAGCCCACTGTATATACAGTGGGGAGAACAAGTATTTGATACACTGCCGATTTTGCAGGTTTTCCTACTTACAAAGCATGTAGAGGTCTGACATTTTTATCATAGGTACACTTCAACTGTGAGAGACGGAATCTAAAACAAAAATCCAGAAAATCACATTGTATGATTTTAAAGTAATTAATTTGCATTTTATTGCATGACATAAGTATTTGATCACCTACCAACCAGTAAGAATTCCGGCTCTCACAGACCTCTTAGTTTTTCTTTAAGAAGCCCTCCTGTTCTCCACTCATTACCTGTATAAAGTCGTGCTTCAAATGGCCCCCCCCCCCTTTTGGGGCGATTTCAGTCAGGTTGAAAAATCGCCCAGAAGTCTGTCATAGACTCCCATGTAAAATCTATTTTTTTCAAATATCAGAGCTTTCAATACAATCTCTATGGGTTTCTGAGGGCTTGCACTTACGCGCTTTCGTCATACGTAACATATAACCATGAACGTAACTAAGAAAAGAGCGGGTAGCAGCGTCAATCAATTCACTACTTCTATCAAAATGGCTAGGCTTCAGTGCAACTCGATTGTGTCTTTGAAAGAAGTTCCTTTTTGTCGGCGAACAAATGAAGATAAATTGGCAACGAAACAATTAGGACCTCCCAGACCAAATTTAATAATTCAACAGGTTTCTACTAAAGGGGGGAAGTCCTACACCCGAGGATTTTCCAAAAATTGGTACGAACGAAAAACCTGGCTAGCAGGCTGCGATGTAGCTAATGCAGTCTTCTGCTACCCCCTGCTTACTCTTTCACCCTGAAGGCGGCACGGCAGACAGCACCGCTTGGACAGCGACTGGTGTGTAACGGACATGCACCATCTTTCAGGAAAGATTAAGAAACATGAGCTGTCAAAGACCCACATGGATAGCTGTTTGAGATTGTCTGCTTTGGGGAGAGTGAACATTCCCACTCAACTGGATGAGGGATACAGGCTAGCTGTCCGCCGCCACAACGATGAGGTTAGTGTTGATAATCACAAGTTTACTGGAGAACTGAAACTGACAAGGCTGACAAGATAGCACCCTTTTGTCCATTGTTATTGGATAGGAACAGAACTTATAACCAGCTCCTGACCTAAATAGATCTTAGCACAACATTTTACTCAACATATCATATTCCATATTCACTATAACAAATATATTTACTACGACATTAGCAAGAACCGCCACATCCTCAGCCGGCTAATCCAGTGTGTGAAGTTTTGCGGAGTGTTTGAGTTAGCTTTGCGAGGCAAAGATGAAACTGAGGGAACTGCAACTGTTTGAACTTGTTACCTGTATAAAATACACCTGTCCACACACTCAAACAGACTCCAACCTCTCCACAATGGCCAAGACCAGAGAGCTGTGTAAGGACATCAGGGATAAAATTGTAGACCTGCACAAGGCTGGGATGGGCTACAGGACAATAGGCAAGCAGCTTGGTGAGAAGGCAACAACTGTTGGCACAATTATTAGAAAATGGAAGAAGTTCAAGATGACGGTCAATCACTCTCGGTCTGGGGCTCCATGCAAGATCTCACCTCGTGGTCAATGACCTGAAGAGAGCTGGGACCATAGTCTCAAAGAAAACCATTAGTAACACACTACGCCGTCATAGATTTAAATCCTGCAGCGCACGCAAGGTCCCCCTGCTCAAGCCAGCGCATGTCCAGGCCCGTCTGAA